AAAAAAACTTTCATATGCATTCTGGTTTGATAAACATTTTTACATTCATACTCTGCTCTTGATTTCTGGTGCAAAAAGATGAACAGCCAGAGGGACACTGGATACATGGGGGAAGGGCTGTGTTGGAGGAAGGTCAAAGGTCACTGAGGAGAGCCCAGGATCAAAGGACTGGAGAGGGGCACCACAGCAGGACAGCAGGTATGAAGCCCTGTGGGGAGACACAGAAGGGAGTCAGTGTGGGGGAGCACTCCGGGTCAAGCAGAGGCCACAGAGAAGGAGAGAACAGACAGACCTCACACCCAGTTCCCTTCTAGGATTTCTGTGGCTGCACAGGCCGCACCTGGATTCTGGGGCCCTTCCGTCTACAAGAAGGGTTCAGAGCTGGACTTTGCTGTCACCTCCATGTATCTGCACTCCTGACTGGTTTAGGCAAATGTGATGCGTTTCAGAGGCCCTGATACATGGGACCCTGTGGGGTGGGCCCATTGTGACTGAGGCCTTCAGGGCAGCTTGTGGTCTGGGCTGTGTTGATGTGGTCAAACCCAGCCTATGATGACTGACTTTAATTTAGACTGAGAGCCACAAACCCCTGTGTACTTGGGCTCATGGCCATTGTCTCAGGGTTGCCACGGGCCTGGCTCTGGAGGGCAAGGACACCAGGCAGTGTCCCTCCCATCAGCCCTCCTCTTCAGGACTCAGCCTGAGGTGCTGAGCCAGCTTCTTGTAGAATTTTATGTCTCTCACTAATAATCTTATCTCCCAGCAGACCGATGGCTTTTTGTATTCATTAGTTTATTATATTTACATAATGATTAGCATCATGGACGTTTTTCTGAGGAATGGGGTATAGGAAGAAATCACTCAAGTTGACATTTCAATGACGCAGACAAACAAACAGCAGAGGAACAGCAGGTGGGGTGGGGATGAGTGGGGAGTCAGGAAGGGGGTCTGCAGAGGGAGGTCCCTGGGAAGTTTGAGGGCCTGGCTGTCCTTCCCAGGAGAGCAGAGCCAACCAGCAGCCATCTGCCCCTCCATTAGCTCCTGGTCCCAGAGTCCCTGAATTCAGGCCCACTTCACCTCATGGTGGCAGCAGTGTGGGACGCCTCATCCTACACTAATCCCCCCAGAGTCCCTGGAACCTGGCAGCAGGTGCCTCTAAACTTGCCATTGCTGTGAGTCAGAAGACAGATGTGTGCCCAGGATCCCCTGAGGCAAAGCTGGTTTGGTTCCCGGCTGACGCTGGAGCCCATAGGGGAGAGGAGAGACCCTAACCTGAGGGGCTCAGCAGGAGAGGAGCCCAGGTCCTCGAGGGAGGCAGAGGAGCATTGGGGGATGGGGTGAGATCCTGGGGGTGAAGGGCTGTGCAACTTTAGATTTCCCACTTTTGGAAAGAGGTGAGGAACGGAGCAGGTGGTTGAAGACCACAGGAGCAGGACAGTCTGTCCCTGTGTGAGTGCCAGGGAGAAGCCTAGAGCACTGCCTACCAGCCCCTTCCTTAGTGAGTCACTGTCCCTGCCTCTGCACGGGACATGGGCTCCCGTGCTGTCCAGGAGCTTGGGGAGGGGCTCCTTTGTCTAGTTGACAGGAACAGGGTCCTTCCTTATTCTTCCAAATAGGTGGTGATTGCTCCACGGGTGTCCACAGTCCCGAGGGTAATGTGGGCGCCAGGAGGCTCCAAATGCCGGGCCTTGCTCTGGGACAAGGAATCCACTGGAATCCATTCTACAGTTCCAGTCATCCATAAGGCTCAGAGCCTCCTCATCTGAGGAAAGAGGGTGGCAGGAAGGGAGGCTGCCTGAGAGCCCGGCTTGAACCTGTGTGAGGTCTTCACTCTGGCACAGCCATGTTTAGATGCCCTATAGGACAGAAGCTAGCACATGAGGACAGGCATATGACATACACCGTACATACTCTTCCTCTCCCCAGATCCCAACAGAGCCTAAGTATTGAGCACAAGGGTTGCTGAGTCAACTTTCAGGGCATCCTGGATCAGAAGCCACAGGTCTGTCTCCAAAGCAAGCTCCCAGGAGTCCTGGGTGAAGTCTGAAGATCACAGACCACATGCTGACTATGCTGGATCGCTTTAGTGTCAACTTGATACACCTGGGTTGAGGGAGCCTCAACTGGGGAATTACCTCCATTGGACTGGCCTGTGGCCATGTCCATGGAGCACCTGCTTGATTGCCGAGTGATGTGGGAGGGCCCAGCCCACTGTGGGTGGTGCCATCCCTGGGCAGGTGGGCCTGTGTTACATAAGAAAGCAGGCTGAGCAGGGGCCAGGGGAACAAGCCAGTAAGCAGCGTTCCTCCATGGCCTGTGCTCCAGCTCCTGTCTCCAGGTTCCTGCCCTGAGTTCCTACCTTGGGCTCCCCAATGAGCTGTGACCCAGGACATGTAAGCTAAATAAACCCTTTCCTCCCCAAGTTGGTAGTGGTCAGAGTATTTTGTCACAGCAATAGAGAACAACTAGGACACTGACGTCTGTCCTGGGGTCAAAGTGAGGGATTGGGGACAGAGGGTCCCTGTGAGCCTGGCCCAAGTCAGGGCTTGGATTGTCAGCCCCAGCCAGTTGGGGTTCTTTGTGACCCTTTTCCTGGAGCTAGTGCTGACACCCGAGTACCTGTGGGAGCAGGACTTGGGGGTCTCAGGGTAGTGGCAGGTAGGCACCAGAGGGAGGTTCCGACTCGTCACGCAGATCTGGCACGGAGGCTCGTATCTGCTGGAACTTCTGCATATGGTGATGCTTGTGCCAGGCATGTGTGATTCCCAGGATCAAGATGATGATGATGATGGTGACTATGACAACGATGGTGATGGTCTCCTTCCTCCCTGAAGATGGGGAGCTCTCTAGTTTTTCAGCAGTAGGAAGTGAGTCTGGAGCAGAGGAGTGAGAATCTGACTACATCATTCATTCACTCCAGCCTCACTCACTTCTTCACCCTTATACCCCACCCACCCCTCCACCTTCCACATCATGGGAGCCTGAAGGGGTGGGAGAGGGCTGGAGAGGGGCCTGTGGGTGTAACTCCAGGAACAGGGACCATGTGACCCGAGGACGGTGGGGCCTGAAGCAACCATACCTTGGGAACTGGAGGACATGGACCGTCTTTGGCCTATGGCCTCTTCCTGGTCTTGGGACTCTGCCAGAAACAAGTCATCAGGTTGGGGGACAGCAGCCCTAATATACCTCCAGCCAGGGTAGCAGCAATTGTGATATCAATGGATGTCACTCCCAATTTCCTAGGGGCTCAGGTGACTGGGTCAGTTGAACTGGTGTGAAGGGTCGGAAGGCATGGAGCCCAGAGAGACTTTGTGGAGGGGTAAAGGGGTAGGAGGGCAGTAGGTTCAGACACAGGGGCCTTGTCTGTGTAGGTAAGCAGGCGGAATCCAGAGCCCAGCTGTGAGTGGCACCTTCCTGCTCTCTTCTGCCCTGCCCGCCTCCTTACTCCCCAAACCTAAGCTTACCAGAAATATTCAAGAAAATGTTCATGATTTCTGCCTGGCATCCATGCAGCCTCCACTGGTACTGTCCTGTGTGGATATCCTGGACATTGTTGATCACCAGCTGGGCCTGGCCTCCATGAATCTGAAGCTGCCACCCATCCTCAGAGGCGTTTCCTGGAGGCGTCTCATTGAAGATAGTCCTCACCCTCTCTCCATGGGAAGCCAGGCTGATGGTGATGTCACTGAAGTTGTTGGAGATGTTGCATGACATCACTGCATGACTACCCCTGAATACAGACACCACGCTCTCAGTGCAGATGGGGTCATCCCATCCTGTGTAGAGAGGACAGTCACAGATGTATGCAGGGCAGGACCTGGAAACAGGCCTGGCTGCTCTACCCTGGCCACAGGATGAGGCAGTTATCAAGGCCTCCGCTGTATGCTTCTTTTGTGTGAGCTGCAGGGAGGTCCCGAGAGATGTGGGGCTGGGTGTGCTGTAGCTCAGGTAAGCTGTGTAGAGGGGAGGGGCTCTTCAGGGTGAGAGGAAGGCATGGCTGGAGGAAGCACCAGCACTCCAAAATATCCATGTCCTTGGATGGGAACTTGGGTGCATTCCTGTTGGAAATCTGACCCCCAGTCCCTTCTTTCCCCGAGGCCATCTGAGCACTGGCTCTATGGAAGGCTTGTGAACTGCCCTTCCCTTTGTATAAAAACAAAGATAGTCCAAATATACACCCTGGCTTACAAAAGAGGGAGCAGCCCAAGACTGCACACAGGGCCCCTCTCCCGGACACAGGACACGGCACACATCACGTACCGGGTGTGTGATGCTGTGAGGTGACAAGGGATATCTCTGTGGTCTCTGCCCCGGTCCCTGAGACACACTCCTAAGACCCCTGCACACGGAGTGCTGGGAGGAGCTGCTGTTCTACCATTTGGTCCTTGATCCCAGTTCCTGACAGAGCGCCTCAGACCTGTGTGGTTTCCTGGGTGGCAGGAGCATCTTTTGCTCCAAGGAGGATTCTCAGTGCCTCCTAAGAAGTGCCAGGACAGGGTCTGTTGCTGGGGTGTGGTTAGAAGGTTGGAGCCTTCAGACCCCTGACCTCCTGGGTGGGGTTAGGGACGGTGGTTTGTTTGTCACCAATGGCCCATCTAGTTATGCTTCCAAAGCAAAGCCTCCTCAAAGCTCAAGAGGATTGGGCAAGGGCCCTGGGGTGCTAAACAGGTGGAGGTGCCTGAGATGGCATGCCTGGGAGGGCATGGAAGCCCCTTCCTCCTCATACACCTGGCTCTGCACAGCATCTGTACCCTGTATGATGTCCTCCATGATGACCCACAGTATGTGGCTCTGAGTTCTCAGGCTGACTTGGCGATGACTTGAACCGGGCCCACAGGAACCCCGTTTACCACTGGTTAGAGGGATGGGTGACAATCTAATTCCTGTTGCTGACGATGGAACTTAGCCATCTTGGGGACTGGGTGCACAGTTGTGGGACCTGATTGTGCCTCAGGTGCATTGTGTCAGACTGAATTCAGCTAGCTAGCTCTCCAGGTGGCATCTGCAGGCCTGACTGGTGTACAGGTGGCGTCCACCCACCTCATGTCAGAACCATTGTTGAGTATGAGTTTTCTATTGTGGCTAATGGGCTATCAGCAGGACAGTCAAGGCCTTGAGAGAGCAGACTCCAAAGCCAATGTTTCCTCTCTCCCTCTCAGTGACCACCTGAGCCCACTGTTAGGGCACAGGAGGAAAGGGCTCTTTCAATGCCCTGGGAGACCCCCAAATGTAGTAATGCCCATTGCCTTTGATGAGGTTAGTGTGCCTAGATTAGCTGTACTGTGGGCTCAGGGCTGTGAACTCGTGAAGCTTCAGTCCCCACCCCCAGATTCAGGTTATCTGCTTTAGGGTAGACCTGACACTGGTCTTTTTTTTTTTTTTGAGACAGCATCTCCCTATAGCCCCAGCTGGCCTGGAACTTCTTATGTAGACTAGGCTTGCCTGGATCTCACAGAGATCCTCCTGCCTCTGCCTCCCAAGTGCTGGGATTAAAGGCGTGCACCACCATGCCCAGCACTTTTTAAAAAAAAAATTTGCATGCATGTGTTTAGATGCACTTGAGTGTCTAAATATGTGTACAAGTGTATATATGGAAGCCAGAAGGCAAACTTGGTTGTCTTTCCTCCAGAGGACATCTACCTTGTTTATTTGTTTTTAAGACGGTCTCTCACTGCCCTAAGGTCATCAAGTAGACTAGAGTGTCTGGCCAGCAAGCCCCAGGGATCCTCCTTTCTCTGCCCCCTCCTCCAGTCCTGGGATTATTTCCCACGTTTTTTTTTTTTTTTTTCCTCATGGGTTCTGGGGATTGAACTCAGGTCCTCATGGCTGTAAGCACTTTTTTCTTTAATTTTATATGTATGACTGTTTTGCCTGTATATATGTAAGTGCACCCTGTAGTGCATAGCCCACAGACACCAGAAGCGGGTGTCAGAGCCCCTGGAACTGGAGTTAGTTAGAACTGGTTGTTAGCTGCTGTGTGGGTTCTGGGAATCGAACCCAGGTCTTCTGGGAAAATAGTAAGTGTTCTTAACTGCTGAGCCATCTTTCCAGCCCTGCAATGCAAGTGCTTTACCTACTGAGCCATCTCCCCAGCCCCTGGCACTGGTCTTCAAAGCCTCTCAGGTGACTTTACTGCCCTCCCCTAGGAGGGACGTGTTGGGCCCCATTCACTGCACCCAGTTCTGGCTTGTCTGCGCTTCTGCTGCTCTAAGGGCCCAAGTGATGCCAAGGCTGCTGGACAAGGCCTGATGTGTCCACAGCAGGGACAATAGACCTTCAGTCCTATGTAGCCTCTGTACCCCAGCTTAGGTATCCCACCAATGCTCTGAAGTGATCCCTCCCAGGCACTTCTGGTACCCCATTGTCAGCCATAGGGGTCAGCTTTCTGTACCCTAGGGGTTCCATTCTCTTCCCTACCTTCAGGGTTGGGACTGCAAAGTCAAGGTCCAAGTCAGGGCTCAGCTTTTTTCTGTCCTTCCCACTCTGTCTGCCCCCTGAGCCCTCTCCCCAAGAAGTAAAACCCAGACTTACTTTCCTGACAAGAACTCAGGGAGGCATCCAGGAGCAGGAAGACCCCAAGCAGGCTGTAAATAGAGCTAGTAGATGCCAATGGGCAGGTCACCATGGCTTGTTCATGGGATGGGCCTCAGAAGACACTTGTTCTGGTCAGCAGCTTTGGGGACACTTCCTAGAGGAAGAAAAATTCAGGAGTCAGAGGCCCCTGAAGCTTCTGCAGGGGCCAGTGTGAATAGCACCAGCCTGGCCCAGGTGTGCACCCTGGGGTTCCCGACTCCTTCTGACCAGTCCTGCCCACATGAATGAGCCTCTGCCAAGCCCTGAGCCACCAATGCCCCACCACACTTCTGTCCCTGAACTTGGTGAGGTATGTGGTGTTGGCTGTGGTAATGGGGCAAGCATGTGACGCTGGAAGCAAGCCTCACCGAGCCAGCTGCATTGCCTGCTTCATCCTCAGAGCTTTACCCCCAACTAGGCAAACTGCCTGGATTGCACTTCCTATGGGGATGGCATCACAGGGAACAGTTTTGTCGCTGTTGATCTGACCTGTCCACTGTCTCCCTGTTGTACACTTGTGGTGGTTTGAATGTAAATGTCCCCCATAGGCTCCAAGTATTTAGACATTTTGTCCTCAGATGATGGCCCTGTTTTGGGAGGTTTTAGAAGGTGTGGCTATGCTGGAGGAAGCACGTCACTGGAGATGGGCTTAGAGAGTTCTTAAGCCTTGCCAGGTCTCCAGTCCTCTCTTGCTTCCTGTGCCTGCAGGATGATGTGAGACCTTGGCTTCTGCTGCTCCTGCTCCAGCCACCTCTAGCCACCTCCAGCCACCATGCCTCCCTGCCATGACGGACTGTAATTCCCCTGGAACCGCAAGCTCTACTCTTCCTTCTATAAATTGCTTGGGTCAGTGTCTCTATCACAGCAACAGAAAAGTGACTGATACAACACTGCATGGTGCCTGTGGTCTCAGAGCCACCTTGTCCTCATCCTCGGTGCGTGTCAGCCTCAAGTTCATCCTTCATTCACTGGCTGTCATCCTCACATTCAGCATGATGACCCATGCCAGCCAAGGTTAGACATCAGCCAAATCTGCACATGCCTTCAGCCAGGCATCCTGTCCAGTGTCCTCCCTACCCAAACCCCAAGCGCTGCCCACTTGTCCTGTTTGCGTATTATTTTTGTACTAGTTTGTAAAGCACAGGGGCCAAGGTTAGACATCGGCCAAATCTGCACATGCCTTCAGCCAGGCATCCTGTCCAGTGTCCTCCCTACCCAAACCCCAAGCGCTGCCCACTTGTCCTGTTTGCGTATTATTTTTGTACTAGTTTGTAAAGCACAGGGGATATTTATTTTTCTTTTGTTACCATATGTCAGGGTTCAAGCTGTTTTTGTTGGTGGGCAAAACCACCTGTACCTTAGGGTCAACCCGACTGACCCCGTCTTGTGGTGGAGGCAGCTCCGGATCCCTGTCCCTGTCCCTCACAGCCTCCGTGTGGTAGGACCCGGCACCGAGCCCCTTCCCACACATCCTGGTGTTGCTTCTTCTCCTGACTTGCCCTGGACAGCTTTGCTCTCAGGGATGTCACCCAGCAGCTCCTCAGGGAGGCTTGGTCAGGGACCCCATGGGAGGCCTAGCCCTGATTCTAGGGCTGAAGGTTGGCTGCTCAAAGGTCCCGTTCCTCACCTGGAACCGCGTGACATGGAAAGTTAGCAGCCTCAGCCAAAGGATATTTACATCATGCTTGCTGATATACCAGCTGAACTAAGAACATGGAGGGAAAGTGAAAAGCAAGAGCCTGTCTCCCTGGAGGCGGCGGGCTAGGTCCAGCAGTCCTAGGAGGCCGGCACTTGTCAGCCTCGGACACTGACTCTCTGGGGGACATAGGATGCTCTCAGCTGGTACCAACAGTGCTCGGGGCTGGAGTCTTCCTGCTGGCTCTGGGAGAGCCTCTGAGAGAGGGTCCAGCATGCTGCAGACCCCAAAATTCTGATTGTCCCACAGTCATCAACTCGGTTTCAGCCAAAGTCCCTGCAGCCTCACCTCAGACTGTCAGTCACAGTGGAAGGCACCTTGGCCCAAAGGGCACCCCACAATCACCTGGGGAACTGGAGCCGACACCTCCATAGTGGCCTTCTCAGGAGGCTGGAGGCTGGGTTGGCTGAGTGCTACCCAGAGTCCAGGTTTCTCCCCTTGCCCAAGGCTAGATGTGTCCTCCAACCTCAGACCTGGATCATCCACTACTTCATGCTCTCCCTGTGGTCCTCACAGTGGAAGTCCCAGAAGGTTCTGAAATCCAGTTAGGAGGACACCTGGCTTACACTGTCTCTTACCAGTTGCCTCTGCTTGGGGTGGCCTGGGGCCTTTGTCATGATCCCAGTGGTGCTGGTTGAGCACCAGACTCAGGTAACTGAAAATCAGTGTGGTGACAGACGAGCCTCGGGGGAGGGGGGGCTTGAGGTGGCCTTTGGACTGTACTGTGGACTGCACTCCATGTGGACTGAGGTCAGCCACGTGAGGGAGGGGTGATTATAGAGCTGCCCCTCAGGGCATTTCCCAGTTCCCACCTAAAGGTGAAGGAAAGCACTGACTCCGAGTGATCCTCTGACCTACACACATTGCTGTACATGCACGCATGCAGTAATGAATACTTTTAAAAAGAAGGTCTTAATAAACTCCAACTCTGGGCCTTGGGAGATGGCTGAGTGGGTAAAGGTACTTGCTGCCAAGCCTGAGGACATGAATTCCATCTCTAAGAACCGTGTGGTAGAGGGAGAAAACTGCTGTCTTCATGTCGTCCTCTGACCTCCCTCTGCACGCGATAGCACCCCTACCCCCAATGAAAGGAAGAGAGAGAGAAAAAGAGAGACAAAAAGAAAGAGAAACTCCTTCTCTCCTTCATCCTGAAATTCCCTTGGTGACGAAGTCAAGGATCTGGCTTTCCCTGAGTGGAGGTCTCTGAAAAGAACTCCTCAGGTGGCTGGGGACTGCCCGCAGTTGACATCGACAACCCCATTCTCAGTCCACCCCAACCGGGCCCAGGGGCAGCTCTGAAGGGCATCAGACGTAGGAACACTGTGGCTCCCACTTTCCTCCAAAGTCCTAACTGCTCCAAGCTGCTCCCGGCCACCTAGATTGGGTCCTGGGAACCTCTCTAGTCCCTCCAGCTGTAGCAGGAACTAGAAAATGCTTCTGCTAAAAGCACCGACTCCGTGCCTGTGCCCCAGGGTAACGGGAAGCAGGATAAAATCCAGCATCTGCCCCCTTTCCATCTGTCTCCTTCACACTGGGTGTGACACCCTTTCAAGTCCGCAGCTGGGTGTGACAATCACTGAAGTGGTGTCTATGACCGCTGACCCCTGATCTCCATCGCCGCCCCGACCCCAAGGCTGAGGCATAAAGAGGAAGATGGCTCAGGCATCGGCCAGCTTTCAGTGTCCTGTTCCAGACCCCAAAAGGTACCCACAGTCTCCAGTCACTGTCAGGAGCCTGCAGTCACCTTGGGTTCCAAAACAGCAGAGCCTCGCACACAGCAGGAGCAGTCACCTCAGGGGAACCCCACTGTCCCTCAAGCAGCAAGGATTTCTTGGGGGAAACCTTGCAGAACCAGAACTTGAGGTACTGACCAACCAGATGCCTCTGAGGCGGCCAGATCGGCTTAATTTTGCAGACCGTCCCCTGCTGCAGTTCTTCCTCCATTTGAGCCTGATGCTCTTGTCAGTATCTGGAGGGCTGCTGGGCTTTGTTGGCGCTCTCCTCAAAGAGCCATGCTAGTTAGGCTCCCTTCAGGGGTGAGCAGCAGACCCCACATGCTGGAACCCCCAAGTCATACCTCTGTTCCAGGACTCGGGTTACACAGCCGACATGGGGAGTCTGTCTTCCTGACCCTCTGCCACCTCTCTCCCAGCGCCTCCTCGCCAGCCCTATATCTGACACTGTGACCCACGTCCAGTGGATATGAGTGCTGGACAAGAAAGGAGTCAGGAGCAGACAGGGCCCCGGCCTGCAGCCCACCTCACGGGGCACATGCCCTCTGCTCAGCGTAGGACTGGGAGACATGAGTGACAGACTTCTGGACCAGGAAGAAAACCATAGCGGAGCCTCTCAACCCTCCAATCAGAATTTGTTAAGAGAGGAGCAAAACAGAAAGATCAGGGATCCACATGGTCCCTGACAAAACCTGACAGATTCCAAGTCTTCTTAGTGACAAGCCTCAGAAGTTCGCAAAGCCATCAACGCTCACAGCACACAGCATGTCAGAGGACAAGGAGCAGCGGGTGCTTGCTCCACCGCCCCTTCCCGCCCAGAGCACACCAAAGAACCCAGATGCCGCAGGCCCGCGTCCCTCCCAGAGGGAAGCAGCTGGAGACACAGGACCTACTCTGCCCCTGTATCCAGGGCCCCTAGCCAGCCCCTCAGCTCTGCCTTTACTCTGGATAAAACCCAGGGGTGAGAGGCAGCCAGTGAGGCGAGAGCTGCAGCCAGGGACGTCATGCCTGAGGGTCTCATCCTGGCACGTGTCTGCCCTCTGAACCGCGTTCCAGACCCCAAAAGGTACCCACAGTCTCCAGTCACTGTCAGGAGCCTGCGGTCACCTCGGGTTCCAAAACAGCAGAGCCTCGCACACGGCAGGAGCAGTCACCTCAGGGGAAGCCACCCACTCCTGTACCAGGACTGTACTAGCCTAGGAAGGAAACAAGCTCTGGTAAACCAGGCAATTTTCAGGAATTACCCTGAGTTCCCACAACAAGTGAGTGCCTTGGTGATTCATTCGTTAGTGCGATTTATTTAGAAGCCCTGTTTATTAGCCGTGCACCTCAGGAACACAGAAGAGCCAGGCTTTTGCTCGGAGAGCCCTGGCTGAGGCTGGTGCTTGCTTCAGGGGCTGCTCTTTGGGGAGCCGATGGGTTTGCTTCCCCAAATGGGACAGGGTCAGCAGAACCCTCTGGGCATGAGCACAGGGAAGGGCAGGCACCTTAGGGTTGAGCTGAGGAAGGCAGGCGGCTAGTCTCCCACATTGGACACAGAGGCCACGGGTCTAGCCTCGTACACATAGGTCCTCAACACCCTAAAATATATGAAGAGAGAGTCAAATGACGGGGACCCCATGATTTCTGTGCTCCCCTTGCCCTGGAGGCCACACCATAAGTCGCCACTGCCTGCTCTTCCAACCTCTGGCTGTGTCTCTCCGGCAGGGCCAACAGGCAGGATTTTGGCTGCCAGGCCACAAGTCGGAGTTGTAAGCTGGTGGGCAAGGATGTTTCAAGGGACAGCTGAAGGCTCCCAGGATCTCACCCCCACCTACCAGGGTGCCCTTCTGGCTTGAATGAAAGTTTGTTTCCTGTAAAGCATTTATACATTGTGAAAGTGAAACCAATTTATTTGTTTTGAGACTACAAGATCAAAACAAGAAAATTCCAAGTCTTCCCCTTGCTCCAGTGCCCACAGGTAATGTGAGATTCTGTGTGCATAAGCATGTCCCTACTCAGTCTCCTCTGGTGTGTGTGTGTGCAGTCTTGGTATGTCTCACAGGGTAGCGTGTCCCGCCTGACTCCTCTAGAAGCTACCCTCTGCATATTCCCTGGTCAAAGTCTCCCCTTGCCAGGGACTGTGACATCTTATGTCTTGTCCCTGGGCTTTTCAGAGTTATACTCCAAGGTCACTTACAATTTCTTCAGCAGGATCTGAGATTTCATAAGTACTGGGTGTTTATTTCCCGTTGTCCCGTAGGTTCTTAATTAGTTTGTGGCAGATGCTGTGTGCAGAGAGATCAGACAGTAAGGCATGTCCTTCCTCCAGGAAGCAGTCTATTCATGTTAGTACCTACCTCCATGAAAGAGTTCTCAAAAACAGAGCCTTAGACTAAGAAACACGCAGACTTTAATATCCTCTGTTGGTCCCCCTTTACAGTTCAGTTTGTCTCCCACATATGGTAACACGCATCCCAGGTGCTCTGTGCTACAAGGTACTGTGTATGTGCACCTGGGGACAGATGCTGCATTTCTTCGTCTTTGTTCTTGGGGGACGGTCACTACTACCAGTTAATCAATGTGTGTATGTATGCATGTGTCTGTGTAGGCATGTGTGCCTCTGCATGTCTATGGAGGCCAGGGAGGGCACCCGGTGTCTTCCACCATCACTCCGCCTTACTCCTTCGAGGCGTGGTCTCTCTTTGAACCTGGAGCTCACATAAAAATACTGCTAGGCCGGAAGTCGGGAGCCCACCTAGCCCCTGGTCTCTGCCTCCATTGCACAGAACCTGTCTGCCTTGTTACACGGGTGCTGGGATCTGAACTCAGGTCCTCATGCTTGAGTAGCAAGTGCTTTACTCACTGAGCCATCTCTCCAGACCCCCATGGTTTCATTCTAATGTGTGGCTTTGCTCTGTGGGTTCCTTTGTTTTGATGTGGGGTGTGTGTGTGTGTGTGTGTGTGCGTGTGCATGTGTGTGTGTATGTGTGTGTGTATACAACCTCAAATGTCCTTCCTTAGGCAGCATCCACATTTTAAAAACTTACTATTTTTATTTTATGTGTATGACTGATTTGCCTACATGTACATAGTGCACTACATGCTCACAATGCTCAAGCAGAAAGAAAGGAGCCTGGACCCATGTAAGAGGCCAGAGCAGGTGCTGAGGGTCAAAGTCTGTGCATCCCACAGATATCCCAATTTTGGAGAGTGGTGACTAAGGCCACAGAGGAGCAGCCAATCCATTCCTGTGACCAAGAGACGCGCCAACTGTTATCTTGTGTTCCAGCTCCCAGGGTTCTTCCCCAGTGACTCACTGCCCCCTGCATACAGGAAGAAGGGTTCCACCGCTGTCCATCCAAGCACTTGGGCAACGTCTCCTGTGCCTGGCAAGCATGAACAAAAGCCCTCTTTGCCCTACCAAGCAGGTGGTAGTGATTCCATGGTGTTTGGGGTACAGAAGGTCATAGGGGCTCTGAAGGGCTCCAAGGGCTGAGAATATCACTGGACAGGGAGGGAAAGAGGGTGGGAGGAAGGGAGGGTAGGAGGGAGGGAGGAGGGAGAGAAGGAGGGAGGAGGGAGAAAGGAAGACCCTCCGGCTTAGGCCTGTGCGCAGTGCAAACACTCAGGCACAGCCAAACGCAGACCACCCACCTGCTCACACACCGCACAGGTGAACACTCACAGCACCTACACTGGGCACACTCATCTCATTTGGACATTTGCCCATCCCCCACCCCAGCAGAGCCAGGGTATGAGCTTAGGGTGGGCTTACACCCAGGGCATCATGGGCCTGAAACCACCTTGGCTCAGAAATCACACAATCCCTCCTGTGCACAAGCTCCCAAGAGTCCTTAAAGACCATAGACACGAGCTTGCCCTCCGAGGTGTCCCAAGGTCAGAATGAGGGCCTGAGCCCAGATGATCTCTGCAGACCTGGTCCAAGTCAGGGTCTATGTGGTCGGCTATCCTGGACTAGGTTCTGGAGGTGGGGCTTGTGGAGGAGAGCTTGCTATCTGGGGCCTGTGCTGCCCTCACCATCTCCCCAAACTCCTGTTGTAGCAGGCCTGGGGGGGCACCTCAGGGCAGTGTCAGGTAGGGGCCCCAGGGACATCCCATCCACACCCCAATCCAGGCGCTGAGGGTTGTACCTGCTGGAGTCTCTGGGCCCGGTGGCAAC